CGTCGTCCCTCTGTGAGTACTTTCCTTCTTTAACTGCTTCCGATTCTTTCCCCTTCTTTCTAAACACACAAACAACGTAGTTATTTTTTTTTTGCTGATAATTCTCACGGTTGCCCTTCTGCAAGCATTGTTAGGGCTTCGTGCTTTTGCATTTTTTAAAAATGCTTTCTTAGCCGATCCCACGTAGTGGGATTAAGGCTTTGTTGTTGTTGATGGTATTTATAATCAAAATCTACTACAAGATTATTTTAAGTGGCAATTTAGGGGCTGTTTGTCTGCCTGTAGGATTTAGTCAATCCTGCTAATCCAGATCTAATAAATCCCGTGAAAAAAGTTAAATCCTGAAAACTGTTTTGCATGGCATGTATTCTATCCAATTAAATACTGGCAAATTATTTTGCTATCTATTTCAGAATTTATGGATTTTAGTTACCAAATAATATATATGGGTCTATATTTGGAAGGAGTACCACTTCATAATAGAAGACACAAGTACAACCATACATTAACAAGCATGAATGTTTTGCTAATGCATGAGAAAAAAAAACGAAGGATTTCATCATCATGGATGCAAATTTATGTTAGACATGAATGCAAACTTCCACATTTTGAACAATTTGAACATAAGTGCCATAACATTCTCCTTGCCTTCATCTGTTTCATAAGGGAGAGCAAGTGCACTACTAACGCGGACAATCTCTGAGGTGCCATCCATTTGACTTCCACCCTTGTGATCGTTGCTCGACTTGCATGCTATCTTAAGCAGCACTTGAACTTCTAAACTTGCCTATCACATTGAGTAAATGAATTGAAGAAGAGAAAATAAAAACATTGATATGAATAAAGACCTTAAAAGCTTTAACAACTCCTTTGTGTGCCTGTCCCTTGATCTACCCACATGTAATTTGTAGCTTCTTTTCTCTCCTCCTTGTGGACACTTGTGCTCTTAATTCCTTTATTTGAAAGGTTATGATTTATTTTTGAAACCAATGGTTTATATCTTTTAGTCTTCTTTGTTGCTAAGATTTTTTTATTGTTGAAATTAAAGAAGAAAGCTTATTATTGGTAAAATTACTGTCCCCTTTTTAATTATAATATAGTTGGATACTAGCAAAATGACATGTTGGACTAATTGACCAAAATCATCATAATGGATATTTGAAATTTTCGATTAAAATGGCACAAAATTATATATATATGAAGCATAAAGGTTTTATTTTCATACTATGATATCATTTCATATATACTTAATTTTATCTGAAAAAAATAAACCTTCCTAATTCCACACAGAAGAAATAATATTGAAAACAATAGGACAAGAGAATTAATTGGGCAAATGATATTCTCATTTGAACAAATTATTTGAAAAAAAAAAAAAAAAACTGAATATTATAGTATTTGATTGATACAAATGATTTCAATAAAAATTTCAGTACAATTCAATTTCTCCAATTATCATATAGGAACATTTATATTTGTTTTTGTTGTACCGTTCATTTTTTGATTAGTTGTGTTTTTTAATAAAATAATTTTCATTAAAAAAATACTTGAATCAACTTAAATTATTCATAGAAGGATATAATTATAAGATAAATTTAACTTGATTGTTAGGGAGGAGGTTTGTTTGGTTTCTAAATTACAACTCAAATAATGTTATAAGTGTGCATAGCCTAAATGACATAAATGTGCTTTCAAATAAAGGCAAAACAAATTAATCGTGATATAAATGTTCAACTTAACCAACCCAAGTTCTATTAGGCCAAGAAATCACGGGAGAGGAAGATAGAGAGAGAGATTCACTTACCTTCAAGGTTTGTTTGGTTTCTAAATTACAAAACCTTCCCCAATTTGAGTACCGCAAGGTAAAAATAATTAAAATAGCAATTAGGTAAATAATAGAAATAATACAAAGGAACATTTATATCACTTTTAACATAGGCAAATAGCCTTTGGATGATTGCATTGACATTTGATTAAGAGTGCTCAGCCTAACATTTATTCACGATTAATGATATGGATGAACAACTCTTATGTGAATCTATAGTAAATAATTACCAAATTTGAAAGAGCAAAAACTAGTAGGCTCATGGGATTCTATAGAAAAGTGGGGAATTAATTCTAATCTATACTTTGTTTGTAGGTTATGCTGTGACGTTATTAACTTTCAGGAAAAGAAAAGATGAGAAACAAAGAAGAATAGAGAGAAAAAATTGAAGGAAGAAAGAACAAATTCACTTTCAAGCTTCGTAAATTGGGGGCAACATCACATAAGACAATTAAGTAGAATTAAGTAGCACTTACACTACTTGTGACCCATTATTTAAAAATTAGGATCGGGGGAGTGCTACATGTCTGCTAAAGAATGAGTTGTATTTGTAAAAATTATAAGAAAAAAAAAATGTAAGAGTCATGTGCCTTAAATACTGACTTGGGCTTGGATTAATACTAAATTATCAAACTTGGAAAAGTCATAGGCTCTTTTGGCGATAGTTGTGTAGTAGCTATGTTGGCTTGGGACACTGTTTGAGTTGAGTCAGTCTAGTGAGTCTATTTATAGCATTAGTTGAGTTCTTCATCAGCTCAGTGAATTTTTCTTGTAGTTGGTTGATGAGTCTACCTTGATCCTATAGGATTGATGTGTTGAACTTATCCTTTTGGGAATCATCTGGTGTCCGTCCCGAGCTTTGCGTTCGAGCTCTTTTCTTTGAGTATGGCTTCCGAATTTGTCTCACACTATTCTTGATGAGCTTGCCTTGAGCCAAGCCTATCAAGCTTGTTTCTATCCTCTTTTAGTGAATGTGTTTCCTTGACCTTTATTTGGGTGATTTCATCCTCGGCGGTGTACATTTAGTTCTCATATTCTCTTATATTTTTGTTAGACAACTACAAATAAAAAAAAGAAGATATAAATCATGATCTTTGCATATTAAAAATAATGACCAATACTTTTCCCACTCTTTTGGGCAAGTTGAACATTTTTGCTTTTCGAGTTTTTGCCTTTTTCTCCTTTGAAAAATTGATTGATGCAATAGTTGGCATTTAATGTGCAAGGAATGAGTATTTGGTGGAATTTAAGGAAAGTTAATGTGAAATTTTGTGCTTAGATTTGATCATTTTTTTCGCTTTTTCCATGTTTGCATGGGTTGGCTAGTATAAATGACTTGCCTCATTATGTTGTGGGGAGTTTGCAAAATTGCATCTCCTTCTCCTTCCACATTCGTTTGATATTTGTTGCTTACAAGAAATGGAAGTTTCACTTGGATTGTTTGATGTTTCCAAAGACATCATGTTGGCTGACCTCAGGAAGGAGTGAAAGGTCGAGAATCTTAAAATATGAAAGAAGATAAAGTTGGAAAGTGCGGAGGTGAGTAAGGGATCCTTAAAGCTGGTGAGTGAGAAGATGTTATGTTGTAATTTTACAAGCTATTTCACTGACGTGGCTTTTTTTTTATTTCTAGGTAGCCCAAGTGACTATGTTCTGTCCAAATGAGAAAGACATCCTAAAGCAGAGGAGTTGACTATAGAAAGAATAATGATCACACGTAAATATTCATTCTTTTTTGTTAGTATGTATTTCTTAGTTCTTCTTACTAATATAATATATAAAGTATCATTTCACAAGTGAAATTCTAGGTGATTTTTATGTCAAGCGGTGGTTGAACTTCGGCGTTTCCTTGACGCATGAAACAAGCAAGAAGCCAGCGCCCATAAACATCACCAACCAACAAGTAGAAATAAAAAAATAGGTTTATCAAACATGAAACGACTAGCTAACCACATCAGCCAAAATAATCTCAACATTTTTCAGATTTAACAAACTAAACTCAAGTAGTGGTAACCGGTAGAAAAATAACCATTTAACTGAACCAATTAATTAAGCAACTCGAGAGAAACCTAAAGCAGATAAGAGGTAAGAAGCAACAATGAAAAATTTCTACAAAAAAATCCAGCCCATGTAATATAAGAGTTATAGACAATAAAATTAATATTCCAACATCAATGGCTGTGTAACCCAACCAATTAAAAAGCAAATTACTCCAATACAATGTTCTATTCTGAAATAACAGCATACCAAACCATTGTCCATACTCCACTGTCCAACTTTCAAATCCAAATATTCAAGTACCCATAGGCTGAAACAACCAAAATAAAGTATGATTCAACCTTCAATGTATTTTTTCCAATAATTTTATAGTAAGATTTTCTTTAGTAAGATTTTCTTTCTCCAATAGCTTTTGCTAGTACAAAATATTGATCAAAATTTTTAATAAGAAAAATAAATTAACATTTTCCAAAGAATTTAATAATTGGAGATATTATCAAGGGAGTTTTCACACTTTTGGTAAAAGATTTGATCTAACCAAACACAAAAGTGCATTGACTGTTTTTGTTGATAATGAACTGCTATGATTATTATGAACTTTGTCACCAACACTAAATGTAGATTTCAAGGCAATCATTGTTATAAGAGTTGTCAAAATATCTTTAGCCATTTTGAGAACAGTCATAAATACTTGAGGGTATTTAATTTTCACCATTCAAAAATGTCAAATTGATCATTATTGGTCATAAATAAATCATCCTCAAGATAAATATGTAAATCAGATTTAGAATATTGAATAGAATTAATGTTACAATATAATCAAGAAAGCTATGCATCAAGTCAAAATTTTGTGGAAAAGTTAAATCATTTGCTAAATCTGATGGGAACCATGTGTAATTGCTATCTTGGGTTGTATAATCACTGAGCACATTTCAATAAGCAAAGACATATTCAAGCATTCGGTATGTCGGGTTCCACAGTTTTGGTGTATCAATGGACAAATCTTTTTGTTGTTGAAAATCTTAATTGCTTAGAGACCTTCACAAACTTATGTGACATTATTGCTAATTTCTTAATGCTGATTTCTTAAGATATTTAACAACTCTAATTTGATGAATTACAACCAGAATCTCTGTCAAACCAACTCGAACCATAATGGTTAATGCATGTGTACAACATCTTACATGAAAAATTACATATGAAAATGAAATTTATCTCTTGATTGAAAATTAGCTATAAGTAAGCTAGCAGTGATAACACTATTGCTAGTATTATTCAAGATGATAGTACACACATTGTCTTGAATTTTGCAATCCAAATGACAATCATGGATTGGATCAAAAATATATGTACCAATGTGAGGCGGTTCCAACTCTAGAATTTATGGCTTACTTTTGTAACTTTCAATATTGATCAATTTAATGAAGAATTAAACACATGTATCGGGCATTTTGATTATTAATCCAATAATCATAATTCAAAAGTTAATAAAATTCTATATACATTCTTAAGATAAATTTTCAACTTATCTTTCCCGAATTCATATATCTCCATGTAAAATGATAAATTTTCAACTTATATTTCCCGAATTCATATATCTCCATGCAAACTTTTTTTTTTATTGTTTTTAGAACCCTCTCATAGTTTAGATTCAAGGATTTCATTAACACATTAAACCACAAATACTCAATAATAATAAATGAATACTCATGCGCAATACTCATGTTATAATCTTAATTTTTTGGATCATGAAACATAGAAATATCAATTTCTGCATCAACATCAAATGACATGAAAATTAATATTTTTTTGCATTTTATTAGATAAGTTAACTATTAAACGTCGATCATCTGATAATCCGATTAGGAGAAAGATCTTTTAGATTTGACTTATGTTAAAAAAGGCAGATGTAGACCTTAAAAGACTTGGATATATTGCATAAATAAAATTAAATGAAAATATGC